CAATCGTTAGGAATTTCAATCGTAAATAAATATGCTACCCGCTTTGCACCCCACAACAAACCAAGTCTTTTGGATGTGTTCGGCGTCAGTGACAGAGATCACGTCAATCACTTTGATCAGCTTCCCATGGCTGGAGTCTCTGATCATGAGTTGATATTCCTATCCTACAACATTCAGCTCAATACGCAAAATCAAGCAAAGGAGTTGTTTTTTAGAGATTATAAACGTATTAACCACGATCTCTTAAACAAGGAGGCTGCTGTGCTTAACTGGAATATGTGTTGGTCAATCGCAACAGTTGATGAAAAGCTGCAACATTTCAATGCACTAGTCAGCCATCTATTTGATAGGTTTGTACCAGTGCGTAAAGTGAAAGTGGGTAGTAATAAGAAACCATGGTTTACTTCGGACGTGTTGTCTCTAATTAGGGAGCGTAGTAAAGCATATAAGAACTGGAAAAATTATAGGAGTTCTCAATCATGGGAAAAATATCGTGTGTCAAGAAATAAAGTAACTTCAAGCGCCAGAGAAGCCAAAAAGGCATACCTCCAATATAAGCTTAATGTTAGTTTGCCTTCAAAAGTCCTTTGGAAAAACCTTAAATCTCTGGGGGTCTCAGGTGAGGATAAGTGTGTGTGTAATCTGGACCCAGAAATATTAAACGCGAACTTTCTAGCATCTAACTGCCCAGTGGTATCACCCGAAATACCTGCTAATGCTTCACTACGGGAGCATACTGATGATGATGAGTTTGAATTTGTATCTGCAACAGAGGCGGACTTGATACAGTGTGTATATGCTGTAAAGTCGTATGCTATAGGTACTGATGGTATTTGTCTAGAATTCCTTAAAATTATCCTACCATTTGTAATACCATCACTTACACATATAATCAACTTCTCACTCGCCTTATCTACATTTCCATATCTTTGGAAGATGGCAAATATAATACCTGCGTCAAAAAAATACTTTCCTACCACTCCCCAGCACTTCAGACCAATAAGCATTTTACCGGCCGTATCAAAAGTTTTTGAGAAATTTTTAGCTCGACAAATTACCTGCCACTTGGACAAAAATAATCTTCCGAGTAATTTCCTGTCGGGTTTCAGAAGTCAGCATAGTTGCTCTACAGCCATGCTTAACATTTTTGAGGACGTTCGCCCTGCCTATGATAAAAATTATCTAACAGTGTTAGTGTTGCTCGATTTCTCTAAAGCTTTTGATAGTATTGATCACAACATTGTTTGGCAACATTTTGTTTGGTAATAGCAAAAATATGTGTCATTATGCTCTAAATACTATCTTAGGCTCGCCCAAGTCCATCAAAGTTCAATGTACACAAAAAATAAAAATTAATAAATATATTAATTAACATTTTTTTTTTACAAAAATTGCAAGGTCTTTGGTATATGGACCTTTTTGTAGAGAATCGAAGTAAGCTAAGAAAAATTTTTTTTTATCACTTGAACTTTGATGGACTTGGGCGAGCCTAAGATATTGACCAAAAATTTTCATCTTTCTCAGAGATTGTTTTTAGAGCATTATGAACAATATTTTTGCTATTACCAATCAAAATTATAAAAAAGCGGATTTTCGGCCCACGCTAATACATATACATATGTGCAGGACGGCCGAGAGAAAATGCGTTTTCCCATTCCAATTTGCTCAATAAAAATTAAAATAAAAAATGCTAATGTATTATGAATACACTCCGATTTATTTAATACAGGTTAAGGTCGTCTAAATAGAATTGTATTAAATAAAAACATACAATATGTTTAAAGATCAATCTGGGTTTATTTAAGATTAACTATTCAGTTGTTACGAAAAATCCGGCGTTCCATCACATGTAAATAAAATTGAACCTGAAATAAATCAAATAGAAGTAAACAGTTATACAAATACTATTAAACGATTAACTCTTACCTGCATAAAGCCTGTGGAAGTGATGATATTATTGGGCCATAACCTTGTGAGTTGTCATAGAGTTCAAATAAGGGTGCTGCTACGAGTTTGTAATTTTTAGGGACGGCAAAGAGGGCTATAAAAAGTAGGGGGAAAACAAAAATATTATTTTATTCATTTCGTTTTGCTTTATTTCTTAAATTAATATTTTATAATGTGTCTTATTAGAAAAATATGGTTACGTAAAGCTTATTCCTTTCCAAATGAGGTACAAAAGAACACTCGTTTAAAACTCGACATGAAACTACAACACAACTCTTGCACTATACTGATTATTAGGGAAGACAAAAGTATGCACAAAAAACTTAATTATATGTCATTAAAATTACTCGAAAATATTATGGCCCTTATTATGAGCTGCATTCGATTTTCGATCTTCGCTGGCTATCGAAATTCGTATTATGAGCTATGCAGGCGTGTCGAATTTTCTGTCGAACAGAATTTTGCTTTCGATGGTGTAACGAAGTGTTAGAAAATTGTGAAAAATGTATGATTTTGTATATGTTTTCTTACATTTTGGCGGCTAGACACTAATTTTAAACAATTTTTATTAATTTCATGCAGTTCTAACATCGTGAATACTAAACACAAGCTCGAAAGGCTGGTTTTACTTGTGAAAGAAAATCCCAATGCTCTGTTGGCTCGATCTCTGAGAACAAAATCGTAGCGCTGTTGATAGTTTTAAAATATTTTAAATAGATTTGGCTCACAAACGCCTCTTTAGATGGTCGGAACTTTTTAATGAATCTGTAGACAAATTTCTTAAATATATTTTATATCAAAATAGTTATATTCGAAAGACTAATAAACTTAAATGTTTAAGAGAGCATTTGCTACTCCTGGCCAGTTTACTAAGCTCTCATCCTCTGACGAATCGTTGAACCAGAACTCGTTGTACTCATTTTACCACGTTTTTATAAAATTGCTTTCTTTTTTACTTCATTTTAATTAGAAAAAATTTGCATAAATATGTATAAGCACACCATTTAGTTTGCTCGATTTGTAAACAAAGCTTCTCAGCGGTGAAAAATATACTATTGTGAACAACCTAAACGAGCGAAATTCACAATAGCGCTATTCTTCATCCAATGAGCGCCATAATACCAAATGAAAATTCGTTCGCTCAGCACTTTCGACCACAGTCGAAAATCGAATGCAACTCATAATAGGGGCCTATATTAATGATCTCTGTGATAAGATAAATCGGGATATTTTATCAATAATGCACCCGGCTCAACTTGAATTGAAAGCGAATTCGGTTGAAATTCACTCGGGAAGTTGCAGAACGTGCCGAAAAGTGCAATTTTGAATAGGCTACAAACTACCGTGGATTTTTGGCAACGGTGTTGCGTATTTTCTTCCGTATAACGAATGTTCGCCCCAAGTCAACGGTAGTTTGCAGCCACTGAATGCAAAATATGTTTCTAAAAAATCGAATTAAAAGGCTTGAAATTTTAAAGAAATTTTGGTGATTTTTTAAATTTATGTACATACATAGTTTAACCCTTAATTAGGCGCATGGGGTCAAGGCCATTTCAAGTTGAAAAAAATGTCCTGGAGTGCTTGAAGCGTGCTCGCGCTCTCTCTAGCTTCCTAACTCACCGCGGGGTACGTAAATTATTCACTCCCAAAACATCGGCCTGTACACATGCGTCGCTACTCTCTTAAGTCCTGACCCCATGTGACCACTCACGTAACATTTTTTGGTGGAGGTAATTTTTTATTTTTGTATCTAAATTTGAAGTCAAAGTTATGCTTTTATTTCTTAAAGTATGATAAGGAGCTTTAATATTATTGACATTACACATTTCGTTGTATTTATTTATTCACGACTAGAACGTTGCCGCGTACACATGTGTCGCTACTCTTTTTAGTGCTGACCCGATACGACCACTAACGTAACATTTTTTGGCGGACGTAAGTTTTTATTTTATTTTTTTAACGGCTTCAAAAAAAAGGAGGGGGTTATCAGTTCGTCGGAATATTTTTTGTTGTATGTTATCGCATAACTTTGGACCACGTTAACAGATTTTGATAATCCTTTTTCCATGGGAAGGGTGCAAGGGTGGTCCCATACTAAGTTTGTTTAGATCCGATAATTGGGTTGTGAAGAAATTAAAGTCGGTTTTGTTTTTTGCTTAAAAATCACTTGTGTAAGTTTAAAGTCGAAATTATTTTTGCTTTGTTTTTTAAGTAAACTATAATAGATTACTTAAATATTTTTGAAAAAACACACTTCGCTTTTTTATTTCTAAAACTCGACCAAACGGCCAATTGTGTGATTTTCTTCATGTGCCTAATTAAGGGTTAATACCTAAACGTACACATGTATACGGTTTTGGTATATAATAAAGTATATTTTAATTAAAAAGAATAAAAGTGAAATAATAAAAGAGTAAATAGTCAAAGCTATAAGTGATAGGCTAATAAAGAAAGAATGTTACGACATCCGATATCATAGAACCAATACGGTTATCATTTTTTTAAGTAAAATTTAAGGTAACTTCGACATTCTAGTTCCTTCTTTCTATAAAAGTTCAATATACAGATTTATTTGCAAAATACAATACATGGAAGGACGGTTGATATTTTCGGAATTTACTTAGTACTATTTTTGTGCACTTTATTACAGCATCCGACGCTTTCCATCCGCACGGATCTAATCCTATTCGCACTGTCGTAACAAGCGAGTGTAAGAATTAGACTCGTGTGAATGGCATAATTTTGACCTTAATAGGCATGTATCTAACTGATGTCATTAGCACAAATCTAATACTTCCCACTCGGTTGTTATGACGGTTCGAATCGGATTAGATCCGTGCGGATGGGATCCGTCGAATGCTCCTATTATGTATGTAGGTTAGGTTAGGTTAGAGTGCGTTGAAAATTATTACCGGGAGTTTTGATTAAAAATACAAAATCAGCCTTATTAGGAGTTTCATTTTCCTCGAACTGGTTCACTTTTCACTTTTCATTTCGGTGTATTTACTACGGGCGGATGAAAAAATATCATGCGAAACTCACGATAAGGCTGAATGAGAATCTTTCGGCGTACATTTCTTTTGCGAATATGGTTAAATTGCTTCGACGATAGTTTGAATTCTTAGACATTGTACTATCAGTGTTCGTGAACAATTCGCCGATGAATATGAAACTTTGGCGATTAGCAGTGCAAATCAAAATCCTCAGCAACGCGCCCAAGTTAATGAACAGCTTTAAGTGCATGCGGTGCGAATTTATGCAGGACGACCTCAGGAGTAACCAGCTCCTAACAACTGGAAACAAATTTATTTCGTTGGCAACTCTGATATAGAAATTGATCAGCGTTGTGCGATTAACTGTGCTATGAAACGCAAGATCATTGGAAAATTGCAAGAACCTTGTAACTGACACAACGTCTTTGGTTAAGTTATTTGAAATGGCAATGGAAGATATGCCTTCTCACGACCACAAAACCATAAGCAGAGTAGACAAATGTGCATTAAGTGAATAGATGATGAAAGTGTTATAATAATAATAATAATAATAACAATAATAATAATAATAATAATAATAATAATAATAATAATAATAATAATAATAATAATAATAGGTCTACAAAATACCTAGGGGTGAAGCTTGACAGCAAACTCACATTCTGGGAACACATCCATGGAGTATGTGAAACTGCGCAGAGCACGGCGGCTCTAAGCCGGCTGATGGCGAACGTGGGC